ATTCTCTCTCTGATTTCGCTACTACCTTCTCGGCACATTCCCAGTAACTATTGGGAAGGCATTGATCAGAATCACAAATTAGATCATCAATCTGATGCAAATCAGTATCATTGAGTGATTCATTACTACCGTGCTGCGATTTCATATCAGTAGAGTAAGATTCTGGATCGTCAATTTGAAGCAATTTTGTATCAGTTTCTTGAGATGATTCTGGATCAATTTGAATCAGTTTTGTATCAGTTTGATGAACTAAGCTATGCTTCAAAGACTCAGTATTCTCAACTGATGAATCACCAAAACTCTGAGTGACTCTATCCTCTCCTTCAACTGGCACCTGTTCCTCCTTCCCTCTCATTAATTCCGTCACATATTCCGTTATGTCCAAATACGCTTCGTCAAGGCCAACAGAAGAAAAGAGTGGATCGTAGTTGGAGAGTATTTCTCTCACAGTTTGACTCACCTCCTGGTACTTGCTAAAGTGAGACTTGACAATAACAAGCTGAGGACAAAGTTTCTTAGCTATGAAGCCTGGCATGGCTGCTCTTACTCCATACCTACGAGCTAGGTAATTCGAAGTACTCTGAAAAAAGAAATAAATAGATAAAACAGTGAGCCATTTAATGAGGAATACATTTTCTATTTTACTTACTAGCATAGATTGGCCTCCAACAGCCATGGGTACGTTTAAAAGTGAGGGATCGTCTCTCATCTCTACAGCTGCATAAAATGCATCCATATCAACATGAACTATGATATGGTTTAAGTCTCTCCTTAGCTCAATGGCTTCAATATCATTGTCACTAGCAGCTACTGAAGTTTCTATTGCGGATGGACTCAGCTGTTTTAACTCCTTGAGCATGGTGTCAATTTTTTCTTTAACTTTTCTTTCCTTTTGGAGCTCGTTCTCGTAGTACTTGGACCCCTTGGAAGCCTGGATGATGATTTGGTCAATTTTGGTCTTGTCCAGACCCTCCATGCCGGCCTTGTTCGTGTTAAGACCAATTCGTGACAAAGGTGGGGAAGACTGCAGTTGTTCCATGGGCCCAGGTGATTCGGCATTACTTCCAGGTGATGTAAAATCTGAAGGCTTTGCTGCAGCCATGATAAAATTAACTCAGTGCATAAAGGGTTAAAAAGACAACGTTTCTCCACGTGACTTCCGAACACTTCCGGATACTGTCAAAACATTAACAAAATTTAGAAGCCACACCCATATTAATTATAAATTATTTTAATTAAAATTAATTAACTATTTCTCTGCACCATGAGCATGTTCTTCTTCACAGCTTTGTCTTTCTTCTTCCTCTGTATCTATGGTAGCTGCGATTCGTTTAATAGCACAAAGGATGACCCAATTCCTTCTTATACCACCTCCTATTACACTCAGCAGCTGGACAATTTCAATTCAAATGACAAGAGAACTTTTAATCAAAGAATACTAACAGCAAGTGAGAGAAAAATAACCATTATATATTTATTTAGTTATTTATTTTCTTGTAGAGCAATACTGGAAGAATGATGTTTTGCTATTTTATCCTGGTAATGAGGCCCCAATAGATGATTTT